CGGTGTAGGAGTTGTAGTAGGGGTCGTAGTCGTAGTCGTACTCATAGTAGTAGTCGGTGTAGGGGTTGTAGTAAGGGTCGTAGTCGTAGTCGTAGTCGTAGTCATAGTCTTCTTTGTAGTAGTCAGAGCCGTAGTCGTATTCATCGTAGTCGCTGTAGCTTTCGCCACCACGTTTCTCTGGAGATGGCCAAGCAATGATCAATAAAGTGATCAATAAAGTGATAAATAATAATTAAATAAAGACCAAACGAGAAGATAAAAAAATTACATACTTAAAGCTTTGCGTTTTTCTAATTAAAAATAATTAACAAAAATTAGTAATTAAATTCGAATATGCAATTTTTGAAATAAAAAAAATTCCATACGTTGAGGAGCACGCTTATCTAGTGAATATAATAAAAAATAATTCTTAGAATTAAACCGAATCGAATTTAAAATCTTGCAAAAGAATGATAAAAATTACATACGGGCATTACGTTTCTCTAGAGAAACGGTGAAAGAAAAATTATTTAAGTATTATAAAGTCTTAAAAAAGGAAAAAGAAAAGTTGCAAACCTTGTTCAGGTGCAGCAAGACGTTTTTCTAATAATGTAGATAAAAATAAAGAGTTTAAAACTAAAAGCTAGCAAGACATTACAAAGTTGCAAAAAAATTTAAAGAACCTTGACTGGGGGTGGGTCTGGCGACTGCAGCAGCAGCGAAGACGAGGACAGCTAATAAGGAAAGGTACTTCATTATGTCTAATTGTTGTTTATTGTTTATTATTGGTGTTTATTACTTTTGTTTTATTTTTATTACTTGAGTGAAGTGAGGAAATTGGAGGAGAGATCGAGGGGATTTATATACTTTTTCGCGATCATAAATTTAGATATAAATCTTTAAGACATCTATTTTCGTTCGATAATAAATAATCTCTAAAGTTTTTTCTTACATCTAATAATCACAGCCTCAAATAATTGCTTCATTGTCAAAAGTAAAAAAATTCTAATACAATCATCAAGAAATGAATTACGACATCATTCAATATTTCTATAAAAATTAACTTCCGAATTGGCTTAGCAGATCTGAAAATTGATCTTGAGAAAGGAATATTCTAAGATCTTTATCTAAATATTCCTTAAATAGATATTTGATATAATGCACGGTTTAGCAATACCTTTTTTATAATTAAACGTGCTTAAAAAGGAAAATTCATTAAAACAATACGTAATTCAACAATACGTAATTCAGATTTAATTATAAAGAATTAATTTTTTGAATACGCATATGTGGCTGTGGTTTACATAGTGATAGTTGAAATAGGAAAACCCATATTAATGCTGGTATAAACCAATTTTGCCCCGACAACCATTTCACCGACAACCATTTCGCCGATAAATTTTGACCCGATTTGGTTAGGGCTGGCCTCATTATAGTTAGTGTCGACATCAGAGAAATGGTCGTCGATGAATTCTACCAGAACTATTAATGCTATGTATACGATATATATACTATACCCAGTGTTGGTCAATAGACTAGACCGTTCTACTGGACCATTTTCCGGAACTATATTAATTGGAACTGGAACTAAATTTGTAGACTTACATGCGATTATTAACCAATAAATTTTTATTTCGATCACATGAAGATTGGATTAGACTGGAACTGGGCTTAGTTCCATTGGAACAGCCCAGTCCAGTCCAGTCCGGTCCAGTTTTAAAACTGGACTTTAAAATGTTATTGTTATATCTTGGTCAGGTATGTCACAAAAAATTGGTAGTGACGTGATATACAAGCCACTCAGACTATAGTTCTGTAATTCGGAATCCAAAAAAAGTTTTATGAAAAATTCGTAGGAACTTTTTTAGGTCCCGATACAGAAATATGGTCGAAGTGGCTTGTATATTACGTCACTGCCAATTTTTTTGGACATACTAATCTACGTACGTACAGTAACTATGGGTACGGTACAAGTGAATTTGGCGTAAGCGGCCGGTTATACTTTACTGCAAAATTTCGATTATATCCAACTACACAGGATATCCCCTACCCTGATTACGTAACATAAATTTCATATACGTACTTATTTTAGAGCAAATAGGATTAAATATAGTATCCAATACTGGCTATATCGATGTATCTGAGATAGTCATGTAATTATAATCATATATTTATCTATTATTAGATAAAGAAATTCATTTTATAATACTCAAGTGTGGTTATGTCAAAGATTATGTATCGATATTTGCATTCTTAATTCTCAATAACGTGTTGGTATTTTTTTCACCCGATCAAAATTTTTCTTTATTTAAAAAGTAATATGAAATGTAAATATAATTGCCTTTAGACTACAACATAAATTGAAAAGAAGCAGAAAGTCAATAGTTTTAAGATATAAAGCTATAATACTAATATTCATTTCATCGAATGCTTAATGTTGAAATAATGTGATAATAATAATGTTGCCTATCGGTAAAACGTTAATATTATCTATTATCACTGGAATTACATACTAAATTTCGAAGCAAGTTACCTAGTCAATTTAATTATACAATTAATTTCCTTATTCATCTTTGAATTCACCCCTACGATCTATATTTTATATTATCACTTGATAAGAGGATTTTCTCTAAATTTAATATTAAAGTAAAAGGTGTTGTACGTAGATGAGAAGTTATTGCTGTCCCTTGCATCGACGTCACTATATATTACATAATGTTGATATATTACATAATGTCGTTATATTACATAATGTTGAAATATTACATAATATTTATATATTATATCATAATTCTATAGTTTTACCTTGTAAATAATCCGGATTAACTAATTTACATCAATTTAGCTGTTATGATACTGTAAACAGTGGCCAACAGTAAGTATATTAAAAAAGTCTGAACCTTTATTGCAAATAAACTGCTACATATACTGTAACCTACATGCACATTCAAATTAGCTTGAGGTGGAATCCATTTATCTATAATTAAAAGTAAAAACGGTTTAATATATTTAATTATTTTTGATTAATCCAGCCCAGCTTAAAAGTAATAGCTTGAAATATTTTTAATCACTGCAATTACTTCTGAAATTGTAAATCTTAAATGTCTTACTTTCTAGAACATTCATCATCTCTATTGCAAGGACGATGATTTTCTGCGGTGGTTAAGACTAAATTCTGCGCGTGATTAAGACAAATTCTGTGATTAAATGTGATAAATTTTACAATTTTACCAATTTCTGTGAAGCTCGGTGATACCATCGATTAAATTTTTTCCAAAACATATAATTTCGGAACTCCTCGACAAATATGCTAGAAATTTAAGTTGATTTATTGTCCACCTTTCCGGAATTTTTCTGTGCCAACCTGAATCTATGGTTAATACTGCAATTATTGTAAATTCTATGCTACTTTTTTAGAATTCTGTGTTATTCTGCGATGACTAAGAGTGATTTCTGTGGTTAGCTGTGTATGATTCATAGAAAAATCATCTATTGTGATATTAAAAAAGAATAATTAGTATAAGTAATTATGCATCATAATATAATTGTTGCAATTAAAATGAAATCAAATAAAATGAAATTTGGAATCTCTTGTCGAATCTCTTTTGTCGATATAAAACCTATTTAATACTTCTCTATTAAAAAAACATAACCGATCGAAAATATAAAGTAACAGATAATTTAACATCTCGGAAATCTTCCCGATCATCATCGCAAAAATCATGTGGTCACATCTTTTTTGCGCTGATAATTGATTAGTTCCGCAAACGGATTCGGTAATGATAGAGCTTCATTCTATTTTCATTTAAACAGCTCCTACGGCACTAATGTGGAATTTCGATGATAAATACCTGCAACTTGTAGTCCTGCTCGTGTCATTGTCATGCTAATGGTTTGCATCCTCTCTGCATCAACAGGATCAGCAGGTTGAACCCTTACTTCGTCGGCATGTTGAACACCTAATAGGGGTGGGAACCGATTCTAAAAATCGATGATCGAACCCCTTAAAATCGATTTAGAATCGATAATCGAATCCCAAATAGATTAATCTATTATTATTTCCCTTATATTGATTTCCCGATCTAATTTTCGAAAAAGATCATGATTTCATGTAAAATCAAGCAATTTTTTGATTCTAAGAGAATTTTACAAGTTCCGAATAAAAGTAGACGTCATTGATTAAAAAAAAAAATCGATATAATCTAAAATTGGTCTTATTAGGATCTTATAATCCTCATTTATTAAAAGTGTTTTGCTGAAGTTTAATTCTAGTTGTAGCAGCCGAAATGATGTGAATAAAAAAAACAGTATTCATCTTATAAATGATTTAATCATATGTTGATATGGATGAATAATTTATATTATATGTTTATTATTTTATTATATAAAATTCGAACGATATTAATAAAAACTAGCCACTATAAAGTGACTATAAAGTGTATAAAGCGGCTGAGTTTAAACTACAAGCTTAAAAGTTTAATAACATAATACGTACTGTAACAACAAACACAGCCCTTTACATTTTTTTTTTTTTTTTTTTTTTTTTTAGCAAAGCGATCATTTATTAAAAATCTAATTATAATTAAATGTTTAATATAAACTTTTATGGCAAAACGTGAATCGATCCTAATTCGATTAATGATTAAAATGATAACTCTTATAACATCGGCGGCATGTTGTATCCCTGTTAGTATAATGAATATTAAAATTTTTCTTTCTTAATGATATGTGTATATAATTTCCTTTTAATATTGTCATAATACGTTACTATTTTTGGGTTACTTGTGTTGAGGCTTAAATAAGTTATTCAAAATTGGAAATCGATAGATGGCTTGACGGCTTAGTCATATGTATGTTACTCAAGTCGCGTAAACGCGACAATTTTCACGTATACGCGGCTGTATAAACCTTATAGAATAATATACTTGCATAATCACAAGGAAATAATATGTAGATGGGCGTGTGTGTAAACGTTTTAAAAGTCGCGTAGCGTTCAAATAATAGTGTAGGACGTTATTTTTGTAGTGTAAACGTTCCTAAAATTAAAAATGTTGAATGTTCAGGGAAATAAAGCATCAAATGTTTCTCTTTCGATTAAATGCAAGTATAAACTTATTTAAAACTTTCACTATCCTTTGAATTCGACTTGTAGTTTTAATAAACCTATCGAGACTCAATTCGACGGACTGGGTTTACTAAGACTTGAATTATAATATATTTTCGAAATCGGATATTTAAATCCTACCCAGATTACTTGACTGAAATCATTCTTTTCATCGTATGCCGTTGGAGCCGAATTGACCTATTGTCTCTACCATTATATCCCGTTCTCCCATT